TGCTTTCCTATGACAAGAGATAAATGTTTTTCTCCTAAGTCATACTGCATTCTAGAATTTATATTCTTAAAGAATTATCACAAACATGGCAACTGAAACTTCTGTAGTTTTTTTCTCAGATATATATAATACAAAGGGTCAACAAAAAATAAATATTTTAAAAATAGAAGGAAATACAATTAAATGAATTGTGAAACCATCCACACCAATTCTTTAATAACCGAGTTTGTAGAGAATGAGAAATCCAAATACAGTAACCATGTATGACCATTATGGATAAAATGTTACAGCAAAATTGGGTTACCTATAGCCAGAAAGTTTGTTTCTTAAAATGCAACTTTAAGGAGTAGCTTGTTCTATATACACATTCCACAATGTTTGTTTACTTAAATAATTTACTAAAGATTACAATGACTTTAAAATATATTTGAGAGGGGCTGGGGATTTAGCTCAGCGGAATAAGCACCTGCCTTGCAAGCAGGCAGTCGTGAGTTCGAGCCCTGGTACCAACAAAAAAGACAAAAAAAAAAAAAAATATATATATATATATATATATATATATATATATATATATATTTGAGAGAAGTCTTTAGGGTATGGTAATAAAACATTTTAGGAAAAGGAATATGAAGGATGAATAAAATATTTTGTTCTTTTGAAAAAAGTGTAAAATTGACAAATGTATCAAAATACAATTAAAGTCTTACACGAACAGAAATATAAAGGCTAAGAAGTTTATTCCCATTCTTATAACGCATGCTTTCAAATGAGCTTTTAGATGCACACTCCTTTAATCTGCAGCAAGGTTTTATGTTCTTTGTTTTAACTGGAAGTTTTTATATGTAAAATATAGCTTTATAAAAATATTTCTTAACTGCAGTTTGAATGAGCTGTTCTTACGTATATGTTCAAAACATGTCATGAATGTAATCATTATTAACTCACATAAAGAAATAACTACATTTTTACCTACAGGCAAACTTTTGAAGTTTTTCACAAATAGCACTGTTACCTCCACAGAAAACCTGCTTCAAGAACAGCTATACTTATATCCCCTCCTGAAGTAGTACTTAAGCTCATTTTTTCAACAAAAATATCCCCTGACATCTAGGGATTATTACTTTCTTAGTCAGAAACATGACTATTTAGCAAGCTCATCTGCCCACAAAAGTCAAAAAAGGGAAGAAAAAAAAAGGTCTCTGAGTTGATAATACACAAATTAGAACTCATTAACTAGAAAGTCCTTACATATTTAATATCTGAGGTTTTATAATTTACACATGATTATAAGCAGTTTGAATTGTGACTACCAGTCACAGCCTATCAGAAAAAGGAATGAGGATGCTGATAGCAGCTGTAATTTTTAAAGAGATCAAGACAAAAGAGGACATAACAAAGCAGATCAGAACAGAACAATGTAAGCAACACAGTATTTCACCAGACAACCCATAATTAACAGTAACTAGCATAATGTCTGTTTCTTTGAAATAGTTGAGCATAACTTCATATGCGATAGTATCAAACATAACAAAATAGTATAAAACCATTCAAGAGGATGAAAGTATTACAGGGCATTCAGAACCAAGCAACAGAACGAACAATGGCTCCTATATTGTCTCATTTTCCATAGAAAATTTATTTATACTATTACACATAATAAAATCCAGTAAGATACAATATGATAGAATTAATGGAAACAGAAGAACAAAAGCATGGTAAGACTTCAGAGTAAGATAATATTAAATCACCACTGGCTATTATAATGTCTTGTTTTCTTCAAAATATAAACTATCTTTTTAGCTAGGTCCAATTCATTCTTCATTCTCATTTTGGATCATCCTCTCTTTTGTAAAGCCTTCTTACATCTCTACTTACATATCTACTAGACACTTCACATCTGGAAATAAAGTCCTGATTCTCCACCCCTATCCTAAACCAGTTCCACCTGCAATCCTTCTCTACCTCATACTTGGTGGCAACATCCTCATTTTAGTTGCTCAAACAAAAACCTTAATCTATTCTTTTTTTTAATCTATCTTACATCCACTCTATTAAGAGATCTTTTTAGTTTTATCTGAAAAACACTAGAACTTAACTTCCACCAAACCACTACCTTCTCTCACTTAAATTACTGTAAGAGCTTTCTAATTTGCCCATGCCTCCATATAATCCATTATCAACACAGCTAATGGAAGAATCTTGTAAGTCTTTCAAGTGCTCCTGCAAGTCCATAAAGTGGCCCTATATGACCCTCTCATCCATTACCTGCAAAAGTACCTTCTCCACTCTCACTCCAGTTTCAGTGGCCAGCACTCATTTTCTAGGACATTATCAGTCATGCTCTTAACCCATGTTCTCTGCCTGAAGGGTGCTTCCAAAAAGGTATCCACAAAGCTAACTTCTTTGGTCTTTGTTCAATATTATCTTCTGTGTGAGTCCTTCTTCAGTCCCTGACACTTTATCACCATAAACTTTTATTGATTTATTTATTTGGTTGTTGTTGCTTTTTTGAGACAGAATCTTGCTATGTAATTCAGGTTTGCCTTGATCTCACTACGTAATCCAGGCTGGCCTCCAATTTGTGATTCTCTTGCCTCAGTTTCTCAGATGCTAGGATTACAGGCATGTGCCACCATACCCAGCTCCACTGTTTACTTTTTGTCCCATTTCTTGTCCCTTTTTTCATAACATGTATCACCTTCTAACATACTGAATACTTATTATCAATGTTTATCTCTACCTCTAATCTAATGCACATTCCACAAAGTAGCGACCTTTGAAAGTTTTATTTACTGATATTTGCCATGTCTCTAGAACACACAAAATTTACAAATTAAATATGTAAATAAAAAAATATACAAAATAGCTCTCCTTTATTCTGCCTTTAGCACTGTACACTTACACATACTGTATCAGCTACCACATCATAATATAATAGTCTTTTAATTTTCTGCCTCTTCTTACATTGCAGGATTTTCCCTTTTGGTTCTGGAAACTGAATACGAAGCCTTTGCATTTAACTACATACCAAGCCCTTTTTAAATATTTCTATTTTGAAACAAGGTCTCATTAAGTCACTAAATTGCTCAACCTGGGCTCAAACTGATGATCATCCTGCTTCAGAATCCCAGTGTACAATTTTTGGAGAAAAGAAATTTGGTTTTACTTTTTAGTGTGTTATTCCCTGTACTTCCTTACTGTGCCTGATACTCAGGAAGCATTCTCTAATATTTAATATATTAATGAAAAACAAAGCCACTTGAATCAAAGGTGTAAAACTTTACTATCTTCAAAATAATTACAATGCTTAAATATGTAAGACTGAAGGCTGACTCTGGATTCTAGATTCTTTTAGTGTTTTTAGTCTCTTACTGTCATTTAACTGCTAGAAATCTTTGATTAGATTATTTCAATTCGGGGCTGGGGATTTAGCTCAGCGGCATAAGCGCCTGCCTTGTAAGTGTGTGGTCATGAGTTCGATCCCTGGTACCGATAAAAACTAAAAAGAGAAAAAAAAAAATTAAAAAAAAAAGGATTATTTCAATTCTTCACAACTATTTCATTATCAACAATATGGAAGTAACAATGATACTTGTACTGATGTGATTATCATGAATACTAAATATAGTCTTAGTCCAGAGATTTGCACATAGCATTTAATAAATGACATTCATTACTTACTACAAATTAAAATAGAAACACTATAAAAGTTTTAATTTGACCACTTAATTCAGTACACATATTTATAATCTCTTTAGGATATACCACGAATTTATATTAAAAATTACTAGTTACCTAAAATAATCTTGGTAAGCATTTTGCAAAAGAAAGTACCTTAATTCTCTCAATAAGAAGCATTCTATTACATTATTGAGAATACTTTAAAGTATTTTTAGATATTAAATTCTAAAATCCATCTTCAGGATATTTTTAAAACATTTTCTCATATAACCACAATTAAACATGTGCTATATAGAACACTTATATTACCTGGCCTATACTATATACATTTACATTTACTTCTGAACAATCTTATTTTCAGAAATAAGACTTCTGAGAAAAAGTTAAATAATTTTAATTATATTTGTGACTTTTTACTGAATTACCCCAAGCTTTCTAATTCTCATTTTAGTCATGTATACAACAATATGTATATTCCTTAGGTAACATAATATTAAAGGTTGGGCAAACAGAGTTCTGTTCAAATTAAAGGGCCAATGTAACACTTTATTTTAAAGCTATAAAATTTTTCTATCATTTCTATCTACTATGACTGCCAGTGTTTTCTATGTGCAGAGTCAGTTCTCCATTTTATAAAACACTCATGAAGTTCATTTTCCTTATAGTTTCTTCTGCCATAAAGAAAACACAAACATATACATTTTACCTAAACACTCATATGGATAGTAGACAAGAAAACAGAGACGTAAGCAGTTTAAATGATTGTCCCAAGGCATGACTGTCAGCTTTAGGATTAAAACTAAGAAGGTCATTATTTCCTTTTCATATTCTGAATACTTAACATTTATATCACAAGAATCTTTTAACTCATCTAGGAACAATAATTTAATAATTAAAATAATTATTAACATATGCACAGAATTATAAAATTTTTTAAATTAGAGTTCATCTATTTGACTCTGAAAAATAAGTCTGATTTACTAAAGTTATTTTTAAAATTGTGCTGAGACCAAAAAATTGGCAGCTTAATATAATTTATCATTTCAATATCTTTAGATAAAGATAAATCCTTTAAACAAAATCTCCAGCAAGTGTATGAGATGGTTGCATTTCAGATACCAACCAGAAATACTTTTGCATATAAAAAAAATCCTCCAAACTTAAAACAGTAGTTTCTTCTTTAATTGTAAACTTCAACTTCAGGATATATTTATAAGACATTTATCAATGAAAAAACAATAATTAAAAAGTAAAGAAAACACCAAATACTCTTACATTTACAGAAGAGAAAAGCATACAGTATAACATTAGCAGCTTACTGTGGAGAGTGGGTTTAATCAGGAAGTAGCCATTATCCTTTCGATTCAGAGCAGTGACAGCACTCCAAAACAACAAGCCGTGATATTTTTCAGTTAAAAGCCATGAAAGAATACCCACTATTGTGTCCTAGCTTTGCTGACCCCAAAGGTCACCATATGTCTTTTATCAAAAGCTATAATGAAAGCATAATCCAAGTTAGCATTTACAATGCTCTATTTGTTTAAACACCTAAAATCTACCTAACACAACCCCTCTCTCTCTGTTACTCACAAAACATGGCTGTCTTATTCAGAGATTAGCAATTATTGTAATGAGATACTGTCGGAGAGGGTCAAATAGTACTTCCTGCAGTTTACACATCTTGATTTCCTGGTAAACAAACTGAAAGGCAGGTGGAGCACTTAGATCACCAGTAAATGAATGCTCACGTGACAAAACTAAGCCAGGTAAGGCTGCCGGCTCAAGAGGGCTCAAGTAATCATTCTTTCTGTAATTTTATTAACATCAAAATTAACAAAGGGAGAAATTCTTTCTTTTTTTTAAAGGAGGCTTTATTCCTGAGAAACACAAACTCACAGTTTAAAGAAGGAAGGCTTGAAAACTGATACAGTTTAAGCAGGCTTCAAAGATTACTTTCAGAAAATAAACTGTACAAACAAGACAATGCTAACATTTTTTTAAAAAGTAAAGATATTTGTTCAAAATTCTGGTAAAGAAAAGTCTAAATTTCAATTGCTTCAAGAAAGTAGATAAAAAAAGGTCTGAGTCTTAATAAAAGACTAAGATTAAAATTGTTAAGGCATAACTGCAAAATAACTACTTCAGAATTTTATGGAGAATTTAATCTTTGAAAACAATCCTATGAATCATTTTACATAAGTTGAAGTTATACCCTACAATATTTCAAGGTTGTATTTCTAAAAGAAAATATAATTTAAAATATATACTTAACTGTGAGCATTTAAAAAATTGTTAACTTGAAAATTAAGTCTCCTCAGCCTTAGTTTCCCTTCCCCCAAGTTGCTCCTGTTTTGCTTTCTGAAATTGCTAATATAGGGGAATCAGAGTTAATTTACAGTAATTAAGCAAATAAAACAAAAAACCTAACTCCATCAAAATGATAGTCACTACTATAAAATATCTAGATTTTTGTAGATCTATAAAACTTGTTTATCTTAAAAGTTCTATGTTTATTTCAAAGATCATGCATTTATGTCCTATTAGGAACATAGTATAATTTAAATTTAATGCAAAGAGCTTTTAAAGACATTTTACTATGGTGTAATCATATCAAAATATTAAAACCATATTGCTTAAATTACGCTTGCTCAGTTCGCAGAATAAAGTTCTAATGTTCTGAACGCAGTAAAACAGAATGACAATAAAATCAATAACAGCAAAAAAGAAAACCCAAGCAGGTAAGACTATGCCAAGGATACAGAATTTCACTACAAACACCTAATGGTATTTCAAAGTAGCATGTATTCAATATTGAATCACATTAACATAAGTCCCCTAATATTATTAATCACACCTTTACTACAATACACATGAAATACAGTGGATTTTCAGAAAAGAATGATTAAGGAGTGAAAAGTTCCAGATAAATTTCCTAGTTAAACTAAATAATTTCAATATTCAGTTACCTAGGATATAAAACATACCCCTTATTGGAAAATTTCAAATGTAATTTCTACACATAGGTAGCCGTGACTATGTCATTATCTGAATTACTACAAAGATCCACAAGTATCTTTGTTTTCCATGCTGGTTCATTTATAGAATGGATAAAGAGAAATGTAAAGAGATAGAAAATATAAATCTGGTATTTCATTACAGGTGGCTTTTATTGACAGTCAAGTTTTCATATCAAGAATTTATAGTTCAGTCAAAAGGGAAGGGTAATATATATTATACACTATGAGTTAGACTCACTTTTTGAGCTGCTAAATGAGGAAAAGGCAACTTTTGCTCCTCTAGGGTATATTTCTGCCATACTTATCTCAGTCAGGCAATCTTCTATAGAACACATTCAACACAACAGACTGTAACTAGTGATTCTAGCTAAGCAAACATCTTCAGGAAGGATTCCTCTGCTTCTTGGCAAGTTTATGAAATCAGAGATATTACTCCACCAATACTTAAAAATATGTGCAACATGAAGCAAGCTGGCAGGGGAAGGGACAAGAGGAAGAAAAAGTTTCTACTTTTATTTGTTAGCTTTTAGTTTCAATACATATTTTTTTATATTTCACATTATCCCAACATAGTTCAAAATGGCTTATGCAATTAGGACTAGTAGAACAGAATTTTTAAAAATATAAATTAATATGAATAAAAAGGGGGTATAGAAAAAGTAGGAAATTAGTAAGAATAAAATTAAGAGATCAGCAAGGGGAAAAAATGAAACAAAGTTGAAACAGAAAAACCTGTTGTAAGATCCTGCATAAATTACAATGTGGGTGGTTCATCTTTGAGCTACCTAGTAGTCAAAGGAAAGTGGGTACAAGATCAAATTACAAAATTCTCTTTCTTCATATGATGTTATTTTACAAAAAGTTCCAAAGCCTTTAGTAGAACTCAGAAAAGAAATTTCTTTTATACTTCTCAATAATGCAAAACTGGACAGACAATATGATAGTTTTCTCTTCATTGTTACTAAAATCAGCATAAAAATTTCATGTGACAATTTCTTTTAACATTTCCACAGTGCAAGCTATAGTCATATTGTAACGAAAGACTTCCTGGAGACTAAGCCAGAAATTCTGCAATTTTTTTTTTGTATCTGGGTGTTTTAATCATACACTAACAATTCCCAGGATCTTCTGCTTAATCCACATCCATTTTCACATCCCAAATTTTGATTCCATTTTCTAAATTTAGGGTCTTCTATATAAGTATACACAAAAGGCACACAGAGAATAAATGGTTCCAGAGCAGGCAAAGAGAAGATACTAATACACAAGCTCAGATACTTAAATGGGCTTCTCTTTTACTAAAAAGAGTTCCTCTTTCATTGGTGAGTTACGATCTTGCACAATTTACCAACTGCCTGGGAAACCAATATATGATGAATTTTATTCCTTCTCAGTTTGGCATATGTAACTAGGGTAGAGAAATCTGACTTTGTCTTCACCTTCATTTTGTACCAATTGACATTCTCATTCACGTATCTTAGACCATTTTTTTGTTTGTGTTACTGTTGAAGGGGAAAGAGTAAAGTTAAGAGATTTTCTATATACCATTATATCACATAAGAAAAAACAAAGTCCACCATGGTAGCATGTCAACTGACATGTATCTGGATTGAGCACTAAAATTTTAAAATGTAAGTTAAATCTTCATTATAGTTGGATGGGTCTCCACTCTGCCTCCAAAAATGCTAAGTACTCTTATCTTCCAGATTATTTTTATGTCCTTTCTCATTGACTCCTGCATCTCATTTTCAGTTACTTCCAAGATGTTACCTTTCAGAGCCTATTTGGTATCATAAAATCTCTCTATATATAATTTATGTTGTAGCATTCTCTAATTATTTTAGGGTCTTCATTATGAGATCTGGGGATTCATTTTCTATATTATTACTTGTGAATAATAAAATGCTCAACATGTAGCAAACATTCTAAATACACATTAACTTAATATAAAGCATTAATAAATTGCTGGCTGGCCATGGTGCTATAAGCCTGTAATCCCAGATGTTTGGGAGGCTGAAGCAGGAAAATAATAAGTTCAAGGCCAGGCTGGGCAATTTATAGTCTTGGACCATAAGAAGAAAAGAGACGGAGGTGAACCTCACTGGTAGAACACTTGCGTGTACGAGTCCCTGGATTCAAACCTCAGTACTGAAATAAACTTCTGTATATATGTATAATAGCTCATTTGTTCAACATATCAGATTATTTATCAAGACTGTGTTATGTGAGCTAGAGGCCATTTTTTCAATTATTATCCATCATGATGTATACAATTTTCCAATTACCCATAATAATATATGGATGGTATAAAATCAACTTATATTTAACCAAACCTTGTTATTATTCTGTTTTCGAGCTTGCCAAAAGAACACCACCAAAAACCCAATTTTGTAAACTATTATCAGAACTGAAGTAACTAAAATTAAATCATAGCTGTATCCAATATAGTTTGATCCATATTGTAACTCGCTGTACAAGAATGACACATACTATGATATAACCATTAAATGAACTCTTTCAATGTGTAACCACTGAAATTGGTTATCTCTGAATTTCCTATCTCTGTCGCTAACATTTCCTAACTCAAATGTTAGAACTGTATAAATTGCCCAGTCTGGCTTTGAACTTATTATTTTCCTGTTTCATTATAGTTGGATGGGTCTCCCCTTGGCCACCCAAAATGCTAAGTACTCTTATTATATTCATTCAAAAAGTTAGAAAATAAATAAAACAGTAACAATAATAGCCTTGTAATTGTTTACTTCAGAAAACAAAATAGAAAACCTATTCATGGGGCTGGGTGTTTAGCCCAGCGGCATAAGCACCTGCCTTGGTCGTGAGTTTGATCCCCAGTACTGATAAAAATGAAAAAGACAAAAAAAAAAAAAAAAAAAAAAAAAGAAAACCTATTCATAATACAAATTAAAAAGGCATTTCAACAAATTTGACAATAAAAGGAAAGAATATAACTCAATTTTCTTTCTTTTCCTTAGAAAAAAATGATAAAAGCACATCAAAGACAGCTATAAATGTATATATTTTCAGTAACTGCAACATAATAGATACACAGAGTCTGTGAGAATACAATATTCATTCTGCTGCAGAAGAACAGACATTGCATAACAATGAGATTTGCTAATGAAATCAACCATCAAACTAAAATACATATGTATTAAACTAAGACCCCAGTGTCATGTTTTTTTTTTTTGCATCATTTGTTTTTTCTTTCATTTTTTTCTTGACCCTTTCAGTATTTTTATCCATTGGTTTTAAGAACTTATTGGTAAAGCAAAATGAAGCCTCAAATATTACAGAGTACTGCTTTTTATTCATCACATTTATTTTTAATGTAAATTCCAATTGTTCTGCTTCTATCAGCACTATTAATGTACCTTTAAAAAAAAATCAATGGATGCTAACAGAAGAAAAAGGAGGTATATTTCTATAGACAATTGCTGGGTCATATCCAAAGAACCTTTTTCAACATTTAACATAAATTCCATATGAAAACTTTAACTGTATGGTGGATGCTTATTTAATAAGGAACATGAAGATAATAATAAATACATTTTAAAGTCACTTTTATAATGATATAATTCCTTAGCATTTTCCATTAGACATTGTTAAATGAAGTTACATAGAGCCAATATTATGACTATTAACAGGAAAATGTTTCCAATGTTTTTACAGAAAATCACAATGTTTTCTGTTTTCCCCAAAATGTTTTCCCCAAAATGTTTTACTGTGTTGGTCTTCAAATGCTGATTATAAGTTTCCATTTATCAAAAATAAGTAATTCTGACAACTTTCTTAAAGATATGTGATTTTTATAATTTTCTTTATAAGCACAAAAGACTATGAACATTTTTAATATTATTTATCTTACAGATAAGTATTAATATCCCCCAGGATCAATTTATATCCCTTTGTGTACAAATTATTTAACCACATTGCTATCTGTCTTATTGGCTGTCCATTTACATAAATTATGTTTTTTTGTGTGTGGGTTTTTTTGGTACCAGGGCTCAAATTCATGACCTCATGCTTACCAGGTAGGTGCTTGAGCCACTGAGCTAAATCCCCAGCCCACAAATTATGCTTTCAATTTACTCATGCTACAGATAAAATTAACAATCTAATCTTTATGGTATATACTTACCACTAACATTATTATAATAGGTATAAGACAAAATTATAAAAAGCAGTACATACACCAAGTAAAATAGCCAAATTTGAATATAACATTGCTTCCTATTTTTATCATTAAAGTCTAACTGAAAACATGCTGCAAAAATAAAAGGAAAAATGAATTTTTCTTGTTAAAAAAGTAAACCAAACAATTAGACATCCCATATTAAACTGTCTGAGGTTTTTTTCACTGATGGTCTCTTATCCATTATGAGTAATAAAAATTTTGGGGCTGAATGTGGAGTCCTTTGCTCTAGTATATGAGTTTCTGGATTTGATCTCTAGCACAGCAAAATAAAATAATGAATGTCCTGAAAGATGATTTTAAGAATGGTATTGATTGTCCCCGACAATAATTAATCTATAAGCAATGTATTATCCTAAACACTATAAACTTGTGTTAAAATGGCAAAACATTAATCAAACTTCTATAGGGAAGAAGACAAACCATGCCCTCCCGTGATCCAGGCTCAGCCATGGGGATTGGGAAGAGACCCAGCAAAAAGTCAAACCATACCTTCCCATGAGTCAGTCCATGTGTGGGCTGGGAAACCAGGTGAACATCCTCCCCTTGCCTCTGGTAAGCAACTGGCTGATTCAGAGGACTCAAGGAGTAGCTTTATATTTGTACTGTTTGACTGACTCTGCAGTCCTGGGGCTGGTGGTCTGGGCATCTATTTGGAGGATGGCAATGTGCATTGAGACAACTGTGGGGATTTCCTTCTGTCTTATTTTTGAAATCCAATGTTTTGTTCCGTTTTACTGTCTTGTTTTATTCCTATATCAGGTAACCTGAGCAGCTATTTTGAAGATAACAATATGCAATAAAACAACTATAGTTAAATTCCTATCATCTTGTTCTGAAAACCTACAGAGCTATTGTTGGTTTTTTTTTTGTTGTTGTCATTTTGCTTTTGTTGTTTTTTAGATCTGTTTGCTTAATGTTTGTTTTTTCTTTAAAAAAAAAAAACTTCTATAAGGAATAAGTCAGTTTAAAAGAAACATCTATGGCAATGCCAAACATCTGCTTCATTGGGGCAAAGGATATTACCCTAAAATATGATAGGCTCAAGAAGGTCTTCTCGCTTCTCAAAGTGGGGTCCACATACCAGCAACACTTAAATTACTCTTAAATTACCTGTTAGCAATACAAAATGTCAGACTCCAGCCCAGACTTACTGAATAAGAATCTTATGAACATTATAATTTAAGTCTTAATATTAAATATTATTTAAAATACCTAACAATCTATATACCAATTCCAATAATTTCTGATTCCTAAAAACTTTTATCCTAAAAAATCATAGTAAAACAAAGAATCAAGGATAAACAATCTGTTATACCCAAAGTCTAATGCCCACCACTTGGTTAATAAAGTTTTATTAGATGATTTGAAATTTGTGGTAATAGGAATAAAAAAGAAGCAGCAATATATTAGATTTGGAAGAAATTTCAAAATAATAAATAGATAAAACTTAAGTATTTATACATTGTTAACAAGGATTTTAAACTGTATCAAATAGAAGAGTCTTTTCCTCAACTCTTGTGAAGAAGTGCAATACAGTCAGAGGATATAGCTCAGTGGCACAGCACGTGTCTGACAATCGCACGGTCCTGAGTTCAATTCCTAGTACCAAAAAAAGTGCAAATACAGTAGAGGATAAATAAAAAGCTGCTTTTTGAAGTAGAAGAGACACCTAGCAGCTGCCAAGACATCTGAAGAGAACCAGCTGGTATGATTTTTTAAGTACAATGTGATTTAAGAAAACAAAACTACTTCAGAGTTTAAAAATAGAAGCTGGGGACATAACTCAGTGGTATGGCACCTGTGTGGCAAGTATGAGGTCTTGAGTTTAATTCCCAGTTCACACACACACTAAAAAAGAGCTTAAAAACAAACAGAACCCTATGCACCAGGAATAGTCTGGCTAGGAGAGAATTAGGAAGCAGCAGCAAAGTCCAGTGCACCAGCAGCAGTCAGGCCAGCCTGGAGAGAACCAGCAAGCAGTGCCCTCCGGGACTAAGAAGATAACAACTAAAGAAAAGAAAGAGCTTAATGCTTGTCTTGTTTGATTGACTTTGCAGACCTACAGCTGGTAGTCTGATGGTAGTCTGAACATCTATTTAGAGGATAACAATATGCAATATTAATTATCGTGGATTTCCTTCCTATTGTCTTGTTTTTGCCAGTGTCATTCTCATTGTTTTCTTTTGTGTTTTTGTTTTGTTTTAGTCTTTATAAAATTAAAAAATCCCAGAAAAACTGGAACACTAACCACAAAGTTTACTACTTATCAAAGCAAGTCCTAAAGTTTATTCAGTAGTGTTTTAAATTAAGAGTACTACACTAAATTTATATTATATTTTTCTAATTTGAATTGATATTTTTCTAAATTGGTTGAGATAATGAAGTTTTAATGGCACTGTATTAATTAATTGTGGGCCTATCACATATAAGGCATTATGTATGGTTAAGTTCCATAAGACAAATACAGATGAATAGAACAGGTACTTTACTTAATATTTCAGAAAAATAAGACAACTGTCATAAGAGTGATATAAATAAAGTACAATTGGAGCAAAAGGAACTGAAGATGTGAGGAAAGGTGTGATGAAAAAGTGACAAAGTGACCTTGAAAGTCTTGAAGAGTATAAATGGCAAAGATGGTTAAATGCGGGAACTAGAAAAAGAGGTATCCCAAGTGGAGGGAAAAAATACATGCTCAGGATAAGAAGCTGAAAAGCACTGAATGTATTCAGAGACTACCCTGAGGTGGTTTGTAACCTCCCTAATAACAAGAACATGCTCCTTTCATTTTATATCAGTGCCACCTGTAAAACTCAACTGTTGATATGCCTATATAGCATTATAAGAGCTCACTAAATATTTATTGTTCGAATGAATAAATCAATAAATATATGAAAATAATGTAGTTTGTTTAGTATATAAACTATTGTTAAAAAAAAACAGTGGAAGAAAAATACAGCTTAAAAGGTAGTTTAGTTCCTTATTGGAAATGACTCTGAATACAATGTTAAGGTTTTTTGAATGAACACTACCAATGCTAGTAAAATACTTACATTAGAAATATTAATCTACTAGTTTTAAGTGGGATGAACTGAAGTAGGAAGAGATTTCCAATAGAGGTGTTGCCATATTTGGTCCATTGAGGCACTTTAAGCAAGATTCTGTATCACGGCTATTCCAGAAGAGCCACAAATGAAAAGATGAGTATGAAAGCCACTGAAGCCAAGATTCATGAATTTTTTGTAGAGCAAGAACTACAGCAACAAGTAAAACTTATATTGTTGAAGAAAAATCCATTAATATCTTAGAAAGTTCTATACAAAGGGAGTAGGAAGGTAAAAAAGTAAATGTCAAACATGTAAAGCAAGAAATCCTTTTTGCACCAGTGGTATAACCAGCAAAATGACTGTAGAGAGGTAATAAACAGAAAGTCAAAGCTGCCATGTATCTTATAGCACAGTAATTCTACTTCTAGATATATAACCTAGAAAAGTTCCCAAATGTATGCACAAGGAGTCATGTCCAAAGATGTAAATTGCAAGCTGGGGATATACAGCTCAGTAGTAGAGTGATTGCCTGGGTCCAATCCCCAACACCACACACACAAACACACACCAAAAGCCCCACTACATGTATAGTAGAATTCTGGAAATATTGATAA